ATATAGTTATAACTGTTAGAAATTGAACTACCTTAGAAATCATGTTATACAGAGCCTAATTTTGTAAGTAAGAACCAGAGGGCTTTAAATACTTATCAAAGATCAAAAAGTGAATAGAGGCAGACCTGGGAATAAAATGAAACTGTTCCCAGTTCAATCTGTGACCTTACCAATTTAGATTCAGGAAAAACAGATGCAAATAAAGGAAAAAGAAAGCATGATATGAAGACTTACAAAAAATTTGAACACGTGTTAAAATTTGAAGGAGAACCTTTTAGCCCCTGGAGATCTAGATGAATTTGCCCCAGGACCTCATTCCCATTCTAGCTTTGGAATTTAAATGCTGCCTAATATCTCTGTGAATTGCCTTGGGAAGAGGGCTGGGGGATAGATGCTCCTGTCCTGTTAACCTCCTTTGCCTTGTGGGCTCTGGATCCCTCTTGTATCTCTCGTATACCACACTCAGTGGTACATAAAACTCACTTCCTTCTTTGTCATCCTTCTCCTCAAAAAAAAAAAAAAAAAAAAAGTGAAATCAGAAAGTATTCATGATTATGGTAGACTTTTTTAGAAAATGGCCAGCCAAAGTTCTCCTTTGGCAAACATCAGTAAGAATACTTAAAAATAAAATGTTCTTGTCCTCTCTAGCCTCCTTTCTCACAATATGAGGTGTCCCATCTTCTGGTTCCCTTGTTTCCCTTCTCTTTGGCGCTTCTCTTTTTGGTTTCCTTTTCTTGTGGTGCCAATGACCTCCCAGGATCTATGGGTGCCAGTGGATTAATAATGGAGTATAACAATAAGAGATATAAATAACATTTAGAGTTTAGATAGTATTTAGAACATAGATAGCCACATCAGGAGTGACCTTTACATTTAATTTTAGTGATTTTGTGTGTGTGTGTTTTCAGTGTGTTGCATTTTATGTTGGGCATTTGTAAAGGATAGCATCCTAGCTTATGTCTTAAATTGCCTTTAAACATAAAGCAGGATCATAATCCATATCTACTTTTTCTCCTTTCCAGCAAAGCACAATATACCATCCTTAGTCTTTTGTTTTGAAACCAGAAATTATCATGTGAATGGCTTCTAGTATTTTGGGACCCTGAAGTTTGCTTGTCTCATTTTTTTCTGACAATTACAATAGTCAACAGTCTGTATTTTTCCCTAACATTGTGGTCACTTTACATTATCTGAAACATCTTTAGGACTTATACAATCAAGCAGAATTGAACATTGTACCCTGTTGAACAGCCTCTTACACTAAAAATAAACAATAAACATTTATTTATTCAATAAGTTTAATTATATATATATATTAATAAGCATCTACGTTACCTTCCTTTCGTCCATTTTATGTCTGTGTTCCTTTTTTTATTTCCTTGGTTTCTATAGACTACAGTGTGAGAATTCATGACACAGTGTTTCCTTTCCTGAAGTGAGGATAAATCAGATCTGTACTCTTCGTACCAAATAGATATTGACAAATTTTAGGGATTCCAGATAAAGTACAAGATGCCCTATTAATTTTGAACTTATTTGAATTCAATTTGAATTTATTTGAACACTCAAAACGTTTTTAGTACAAGTACATCCCCTGCAAAGATTATATACTTATGTGAAAAAAATGATTTGATGTTTATATGAAATTCAAAATTAACTCAGTATCATACATATTTAATTGCTAACTCTGGTAACCCTACTATAAATTATTTGTAAAAATTTACAATTCATGGGAGGTACATTTTTTAACTTTTGATTTTTTTATATTATTAGAGTACTTACCTGGTTAAGGTGGATTTTATCTTCCCTTACTGTTTAATAATTTCCTTTAAGATCATCTTTATTGCATATTAATTTTTGCAGCTTTGGATCATTTCAGGAGAAAAACAGGAAGGGTGGAAGTGATGGTCCAGAGGCCTGCATTTAGTTAATTACTCATGGTATTTTATTCAGTTTTCAATTTAGCCCCTTAGGTCATATGATTATATATTTAATTCCTTAAAAATGTTTTTTTTAAAGAATAATCATTTCCTATATTTAAAGTTAAAATTGAGACCTCTATCAGTTTTTCTCATTGAAAAAATTAAACTTTTGATGGCATTCTCTTTTTATTTTCACTGATATATTCCGTGCTTGTTACAAACACAAAATGTTTGCCATTTTGTGTTTGAAAATAAATATTTATTACTGTTGTTTAATTATATTTCTGTCACTTTGGGAAATTTTCATAATCATACAATAGTAGAAATTAATTTGTGAACTTCATACATGAATAACTATCCTTTTTGGAAGCTATATCTTGTTATAAAATGCCAAAGAGTCTCTCTTTGAGATATGCAAATTTATACTTTGAAATATTCTTTCAAATGCCACCCTTACCACAATCACAAAAGTAGAGTTTTACCTCAAATTATTATTTTACCTTTAAAGATCAATCTTAAGGAATTTTTTACTTGCAAAAATAAAATATCTTCCAAAATATCAAAAGAGCAAACCCCTTGAAGAAATAATTGCTTTAAATCTGTGAAAACAGTTTTAAAAAACCCCAAGCACTATATACCCTACATAGCCTTGGTAGGGGGGAAAGAAAAAAACAAAAAACTACTAGATCCAAGTAACAGGTCAACAAATGTCAATAGTTTTTAGCTTATAAATTGAGATTTGCAATCTTAGGGATTTCATACAGCAGAACCTTATAAATTTGCCCTCAGAACTATAATACAGATGAAATCACACTGTCTTTGAAAAAAATCTCTTCCTCTGCAATTAAAGATCAAGGTCTGTGTTGCTATTTTGTTATTTAAAGCCATGTGGTGATTTTAATACATTTCCCTATATGGCCACTTACTTTTAAGGAATTTGAAAGCTCCAATTTCCTAGTGGCATATTTCATCACTGCTTATTGAATTAATATATTTAATGTGATTTTTCATACTTCACATTAAGCAGTAGCAGATAAGTTCTGTAGGTTTAGAATTTATGTTTTTGGATTGCATTGTGTTATTAAGCTAGTGTTGAGACCAATGATGGAGCAGAAATGAGGTTCTTACAGCAAGATGTTTGAGGAAGAAAGATTAAACCAAAAGAAAAAGTTTATTCTGAAGGTAATGATTTAAGACATTTATGTAAAATTATAAAAGAAAAAAAGAGATTTTGTCATCATCGTCTTCTTTAAAACAATGTTTTTTTCCATTGATTTTTGAAGTAGAAAAAACATTCTATTTTGTTCAGTTAAATTATGGGAAAGCTTTGGGAATCTGGAAAATCCAATGGAGTCAGTAAATGAAAGTTCATATAGATGTCATTCAACTGCCTGAGGAAAGAGTTAGAGTAAATGATTTCTTCAGAAAACTATGACCCCATATGAAGTGTAGGATTATTTTTTCTAGATCTGTGAAAAATGATGTCGGTGTTTGAATAGGGATTGCATTGAATCTATAGATCATTTTGGAGGTAGTATAAACATTTTAACAATGTTGATTCTACTGACCCATGAGCATGGCAGGGTTTTCCACCTGTTTAAGTACTCTGCCATACCCTTCCTCAGTGTTTCATATTTCTCCCTGTAGAGGTCTTTTGCCTCCTTAGTTAAATATATTTTTAGGTATTTTGGTTTTTTTGTCGCTGTTGTGAAGAATATTGAGTCTTTGATTTGGTTCTGAGTTTGACTATTGTTGGCATATAGGAATGATACTGATTTGTGTACATTGATTTTGTAATCTGAGACTTTGTTGAATTTTTTTTTTTATCAATTCCAGTAGTCTCATGGCAGAATCTTTGGGATGTTCTAGATATAAGATCATATTGTCAGCAAAGAATGATAGTTTGACCTCTTCTGACCCCATTTGGATGCCCTTAATTTCCTTCTCTTGTCTGATTGCTCTGCATAGAACTTCCAGCACTACATTGAATATAAGTGGAGATAGTGGACAACTTTGTCTGGTTCCAGTTCTAAGTGGGAAAGCTTTTAAGTTTTCTCCTTTCAGTATGATGCTGATTGTAGGAAACAACCCAAGTGCCTATCAATACATGAGTGGATTAATGAAATGTGGTATATGTAGTTCTACTTATGGAGTTCCACTCCATGGAGTTCCATGGAGTTCTACTCAGCCACAAGAAAACCAATGGTGATCTATCACCTCTTATATTATCCTGCATAGAGCTAGAGCCCATTCTATTAAGTGAAATATCATAAGAATGGAAAAACAAGCACCATATGTACTCGCCACCAAATTGGTATTAACTGATCAACACTTATGTGCACATATAGTAGTAACATTCATTGGGTGCCAGGCAGGAGGGGAAGGGAGAAGGGAATTGGTATAGGCACACCAAATGGATGTGGTGTGCACTGTCTGTGGGACACTTCAAGCTCTGACTTGGATGAGGCAAAGGCAATATATATAACCTAAACATCTGTACCCTGTAATATGCTGAAATTAAAAAAAAAAGAAAGAAAGAAAAAGAAAACCATGACTCCGTATGAAATCAACTATAATGAAATAAACTAATGCAGTTCATGGTTTTAGATAGAGCCTTAAAAGATCAAAGTAATGTGAGGTGTTCTCTGTTGCTTGATGGTCACTATAATCTAAGGCGGGAGCTACATGTGGGAAAGCTTTTACTTTTATATCTTTAAATAGCTAATAATATCCCACAATGGTACTGAGTATTGTGACTTATCCCTCCTTGAAATTCACTTAATTAAAAAATGAGGCAGGGGGAAAAAGTGGCTCTTTGTTCTTTGATCAGAGGGTGGGAATTCTCAATCTAACTTTTATAAAAAGTATAATCTTAAAATTGGTTAACATAGTGACATTTACATTTATCATCCTTGACTCTTCACTAGTTCGTATGCTTCATCCAATTTTTCTCTTTATTTTCTGAATTCCTGCTTTCAGTTTTCCATTTTTAGAATATTGGATGCATACAAATAGAGATTAAAACCACTGTGTCTGTGGACTCACTTATACTGACTGCTGTATTCATGCTATCCCCAGGCACTGAAGGAGCAGTATTTGGGCACTCTGTGGAGACACCTCACATCAGAGCAGAACCATCTCAAGACCTCAGGTAAGTGTTCCCTCTGACACCTGTGTCATGGTCCCCATCACTGTAGATCATCCTGGATATATAAAGAATTAAAATACAACATGTGCTATTTACTTGTATGAAGAATTGACCTTCTCTACCTCCATGATAAATAGTTGGGTATTTGATGACAAGGCAATGTGTGTCATTATTCTAACTTTCTCTATATTTTTCCCTAATATACTTATAAAGAATATAAAAATAAATATATCAGACAGAAGGAATGTGGGAAGAAAAGGAAAAGGAAGTTTACCTTCTGACATTATTTCTGACATAAATAATGAAATATGCGACATATATAGGCACCAAAAGGGACAGGGTAGAGAATGGGAGAAAGCTATGAATGATCTCAGGGACTGTCATATAGAGGGAAATATGGAAGTGAATAGAAACTCAACAGAAAAGGGCAGAACTTAATTGCCCTATAATCATGGGTTCCTCAGTCTTATATTTCCAATGAAATAAGCTGCATCCTGAAATTGTGATATTTCTAGGAGGCACAGCTATAGATAAAAGCCCTCACCACCAAAAGATTGTGAGGTGTCAACATTAAGAATTATTTGCATTCTTCCCAGGATAATCATGACCATTGTTGATAAAAGTTAAAATATTAAACTCTAGACTCTACTAGAGTAGGGTCTGCTCCATGGATGTTCTTATTTCAACAAATAAGTTAAGATTTGGGGATTAGAGATGCTTTACATAATTAATTTCAGATAGGTAAATTTTATTCCAAAATGCATTTGCTGCTATATATATATATATATATATATATATATATAGCAGCAAAAAGATAATAGTGATACTAAAAAATAAATCCCATGTTAAGAGTCACTTTTAAAGTTGGATCAAAGTATCCATCTAAAAGATAGAATCTCTTGTCTTGGAAAATACAATAAAAGCATTAAGTTAAAAAAATCCTTTTTATTTCATAATGATTGATGTTCAGTCCTTCTTATTTAATGAGTGGATGAATGCTTAAATGAAAACAGAAAAATAAAGTCAAAAATTTTAAGGCAAAAAAAAAAAAACATACTTTTACAACAGTGAATTTTGTAGACCTTTTCAATTCTATGATAAAATTTCCTAAAGAACTCATTTTCTCACTAGTTGAAGTAATAGAGTTTAAAGAGCTAGTGAACAATATTAGAAAAAGGTGGCCCTCTTCATGTGACCAAGCCATTGGGCTTAAGTCATTGTACCAAGGGGCTTACACTGTGCCAAAGCATTTGGAGGTGACATTTGGTCATTGGTAGCCTCATGGATCCAAGCTGGCCTTTGCTAAGAGGTTCTCATTTTAAAGTACCTTGGAATATACTTAACTAAGGAGGTAAAAGACCTCTACAGGGAGAACTATGAAACACTGAAGAAGGAAATAGCAGAGGACGTAAACAGATGGAAGAATATACCATGCTCATGGGTCGGCAGAATCAACATTGTAAAAATGTCTATACTACCCAAAGTGACCTACAGAGTCAACACAATCCCTATCAAAATGCCATCATCATTTTTCACAGATATAGAAAAAATAATTTTACACTTCATATGGAACCAGAGAAGACCCCGTTATAGCAAAATCAATCCTAGGCAATAAAAACAAAATAGGAGGTATCAATATACCAGACTTCAAACTTTACTACAAGGCTATAGTCATTAAACAGATTTTTACTGGCACAAGAACAGGGACATTGACCACTGGAACAGAACAGAGAACCCAGATATAAAACCATCCTCACATGGCCAACTAATCTTCAACAAAGCAGACAAAAACATACACTGGGGAAAAGAATCCTTATTCAATAAATGGTGCTGGGAAAACTGGATAGTCACATGTAGAAGACTGAAACAGGACTCACACCTTTCACCTCTCACAAAAATCAACTCATGCTGGGTAACAGACTTGAACCTTAGGTGTGAAACTATTAGAATTCTAGAGGAAAATGTTGGAAATACTCTTCTAGACATTGGCTTAGGCAAAGAATTTATGAAGAAGACCCCAAAGGCAATCACAGCAGCAACAAAAATAAACAAATGGGACCTGATCAAATTAAAAAGCTTCTGCACAGCCAAAAAACTGTCAAGAGAGCAAACAGACAACCCACAGAATGAGAGAAAAATTTTGCAAGCTACACATCTGATAAAGGGTTGATAATTAGAATCTATTTAGAACTCATGAAAATCAGCAAGAAAAAATCAAACAACCCTATCAAAAAATGGGCAAAGGACATGAACAGAAACTTCTCAAAAGAAGACAGAATAATGGCCAACAAACATATGAAAAAATGTTCAACATCTCTAATCATCAGGGAAATGCAAATCAAAACCATAATGAGATATCATTTAACTCCAATGAGAATGGCCTTTATCAAAAAGTCCCCAAACAACAAATTCTGGCATGGATGTGGAGAGAGAGGAACACTCCTACACTGCTGGTGGAACTGCAAGCTAGTTCAACCTCTGTGGAAAGCAATATGGAGATACCTCAAAGCGATACAAGTAGATCTACCATTTGATCCAGCAATTCCACTACTGGGCATCTACCCAAAGGATCAAAAGTCACTTTATGAAAAAGACACCTGCACTCGAATGTTTATAGCAGCACAATTCACAATTGCAATGCTGTGGAAACAACCCAAGTGCCCATCAATTCATGAGTGGATTAATAAAATGTGGAATATGTGTACCATGGAATACTACTCAGCTTTAAGAAACATGGTGATATAGCACCTCTTGTATATTCCTGGATAGAGCTGGAACCCATTCTACTAAGTGAAGTATCTCAAGAATGGAAAAACAAGCACCACATGTACTCACCAGCAAATTGATATTAACGGATCAACACCTAAGTGGACATATAGGAGTAACATTTATCAGGTGTTGGGAGGGTGGGAGAGGGAAGGAGGGGATGGATGGATGTATACAACCACAATGAGTAAGATGTGCAACATTTGGGGGATGGACACGCTTGAAGCTCTTACTCGAGGGGGGAGGAGGGCATGGGCAATATATGTAACCCTAACACTTGTACCCCATAATATGCTAAAATAAAAAAAAAATAATAATAATTTTTAAAAAAGAGGTTCTAATTTTTCCTTCATTCAGTCTTCATTCACCATAGGTCACTATTGTCCTTTGAGGCTCTGTTACCCTGAGACATCACTACTCTCCCCAAACCTCTAACACCTAAAGAATAAACATCCTACCACCTGGGACTTGGCCCAAGTAGCAAAGCACAGTGAACCATTTGAGCCCAATTCTGTTGATTTCTCTCCAATTTTCTTCTATACTGTGAGTCAAGAAAACATTTCTCCAATAGGTAGGAGAAAAACAACAGATTTCCACTGATCTTGGTTTCCTTCTGATGTTTTTGTTTTTGTTCTGAGTCATTTTATTACACCAAATGGTTAGTTTTTTGTTTTGTTTTGTTTAACTCAAAATGTCTGTAAGGTTAGGAAACTCAGGGCATCTCTATCAACTTCTCCATTATCCACCACTGTGGCAAGCGGGGGGCCGCTTAGTGATGAGAGAGCAGCAAGGGGTACAGGGAAATGGAACAGGAGAAGAAATCCCATTAATATCTCAAAGTACTACCCTACTACATACCTATCTCCCTTAATTCATATACCAATATCATAAATAAAGATTATAATTATCAAATTAGAGGTGATGAAACTGCTGGCCAACATTTCTGAACCCAGATCTAACCAGCTTTCCATCTTTACTGCCTCTTTCAATAAAGATCCTCTACTCAGTGTAAGAAAGCATCCTGCTTTGTAGCTACTTTGGCAATGGATATGTGAAATCTAAAATGGATATGAATATAATAAAAATTTCCTGTTTAAAGTAATTAATAAAGATAAAAGTGGAAAAACTCTAAACACCCAGAAATACTTAATGTGTTTTAATGTTTCTCTATCACCGTCAAACATGGTGTCAACCCTTTTCACATTTACTATGCATATATAACTATGAAATGTATGAATGATAACACCAATGCATTATCCTGGGAAACAAACTAAACCATACTAATTACTGGATAAAATAAGTGTTTTTTCTCCCATTTATAAGTTCACCAAATTGTGTTTCCTTGAATATTAGATTCATAACCTGTTTTAGAACATTAGTTCATTTAATTAAGTTTTTATCTGATAGCTGTATGAATGGTTCAATCATATCCAAACATATATAATTACCAATTAGTATTTAGATCATAAACAGCAAATGGAAATAATAGTGACCACACATACAGCACTTAAGGTGGTGTATGTCTGACAGCATATTGGGGAAAGAAGTTATAAAATACATGTTTTAACATTCAGATTTTGAAATTTAGATATTGTGTGCAAAATGTTAATAGTAAGTTTTACTACATAGTAGGATTATGAGTGACTTTTTTTTCTTTCAAATTTTCAAATGTTGTATGAAAAAATGTGTGGGTTTTCTTTTATGAAAAAGACAACAAAATATAGACATTTCTTAAGAATTAGATATATTCAAAACCTGACCCCTCCAGGGATTGTATGAAGATGTCCAAGTGGCCCATAGAGATGAAAGTTTCAAAGTTGCTTTGGTGAGTGAAACAACAACAACAAAAATTTGAAAGTGTTGAAATCACTTCTAAATGCTGGCTCTACTCCTTCAATACCACTTTTAAGCCTTTGAGTTCAACTTCACTACTAAGAATGAGCTGAACTTCAGAGATCTAATCATTTGATGTGGTTCTTTCTGCAAAACAACTCTGAATATATTACCTAAAAAAATTGCTCTGGATAATGGTGAATGTGAGCCTGAAGCGACCCTTCTGTTAAAGTCTTGCGGTCAAGGGGAACACAAGCAATTGCGTCCTCAGAGCAGAGCGCTTATCCAAAAAGAACAACTTGTGGATACTACTTATTTTCATGCTAGTACTTTTTACCACTGAATTCTAGTTTTTGTATTCTGTTTGCTTTTTTCTGTAGTTTTATATTTGGAGATTTTTTTTTATTTCAGCATATTATAGGGGTACAAATGTTTAGGTTACGTATATAGCCCTGTCCCCCAGACCCTCGAGTGAGAGCTTCAAGCTTGTCCATCCCCCAGACAGTGCACATTGCATTCATTATGTATGTATATACCCATTCCCTCCTTCCCACTCCCATCTGCCCAACACCTGATGAATGCTATTTCTATATGTGCACTTAGGTGTTGATCAGTTAAAACCAGTGTGATGGTGAATACATGTGGTGCTTATTTTTCCATTCTTGGGATACTTCATTTAGTAGAATGAGTTCCAGCTCTGTCCAGGATAACAAAAGAGGTGCTATGTCAACATTGTTTCTTGTAGCTGAATAGTACTCCATGGTGTGTGTGTGTGTGTGTGTGTGTGTGTGTGTGTATACACACACATATATATTATTAATCCACATTTTATTAATCCACTCATATTTTTGATGGGTACTTGGGTTGTTTCCACATCTTTGCAATTATGAATTGTACTGCTATAAACATTCGAGTGCAGATGTCCTTTTTAGAGAATGTCTTTTGTTCTGTGGGTAGATGCCCACTAATGGGATTGCTGGATCAAATGATAGATCTACTTGTATCTCTTTGAGGTATCTCCATATTGCTTTCCACAGAGGTTGTGCTAGTTTGCAGTCCCACCAGCAGGATATGAATGTTCCTATCTCTCTGCATCCACACCAACATTTATTTTGGGACTTTTTGATAAAGGGCATTCTCACTGGGGATAAGTGGTATCTCATTGTGGGTTTGATTTACATTTCCCTGATGATTAGAGATGTTGAGTATGTTTTCATATGTTTGTTGGCCATTATTCTGTCTTCTTTTGAAAAGTTTCTGCTCATGTCTTTTGCCCACTTTTTGAAAGGGTTGTTTGATTTTTTCTTGGTGGTTTTCCTAAGTTCTAAATAGATTCTAGTTATCAGCTCTTTATCTGATGTATGCATGTGAATATTTTCTCCCATTCTATAGGCTGTCTGTTTGCTCTTGTGATAGTTTCTTTAGCTACGCAGAAGCTTTTTAATTTGATCAGGTCCCATTTATTTATTTTTATTGTTACTGTGATTACCTTTGGGGTCTTCTTTATAAATTCTTTGCCTAGGCCAACGTCTAGAAGAGTGTTTTAAAGATTCTGCCATGAGACTACTGGAATTGATAAACAAATTTAGCAAAGTCTCAGGTTACAAAATCAACGTACAGAAATCAGTAGCCATTCCTATACACCAACAACAGTCAAACTGAGAACCAAATCAAAGACTCAATAACCTTCACCATAGCAACAAATAAAATAAAGTACCTAGGAAAATATTTTACTAAAGAGGTAAAAGATCTCTATAAGGAGAACTATGAAATACTGAGGAAGGAAATAGCAGATGACGTAAACAGGTGGAAAACCATATCATGCTCATCATTTTTCACAGATATAGAAAAAATAGTTTTACGCTTTGTATGGAACCGGAGAAGACTGCATATAGTAAAAGCAATCCTATGCAAAAAGAACAAAATGAGAGGCATCAATTTACCAGACTTCAAACTATACTACAAGGCTATAGTAATGAAAACAGCTTTGACTGGCACAAGAACACGGACATAGACCAATGGAACAGAACTGAGAACCCAGATATAAAACCATCCTCATATAGCCATCTAATCTTTGACAACGCAGACAAAAAGCATACACTGGGGGAAATAATCCTTATTTAATAAATGGTTCTGGGAAAACTAGATAGCCACATGTAGGAGACTCAAACAGGGTCTGCACCTTTCACCTCTCACAAAAATAAATTCATGGTGGATAACAAACTTAAACCTAAGGCACGAAACTATAAGAATTCTAGCAGAAAACGTTGGAAATACTCTTGAAGATAATTTTCAAACAGCCTCCAAATGTCTTTTTTGCAGACAAAAGTATCTAAAATACTTTTCCTCTTACAATTTATGTCATCAACCTGTAATCACATTTGTACCTTCCATTTCATTTTTGTGTATTAGCTTCCATTGAATTTTTCTTTCCCAGACTAATGCCACTCATTCTGTGGATGTTTCACTGGGTCAGTAGAGGTCAGTTGATATAGGTAGGAAATGTTTTATTTCTATTTTAATGAATTCCCAGAGCAGTAATGAGTACTTTGAATTTTTTGAAGTTTACAAAATTTTAACTGTGCTTGCCTGAAAGTTTGCAACACTAGTGATTTTCATTAAAGCTCTCATCTTTGAAAGACAGGGACTCTTCATTAAGGAATACATACATCCTAAATTGTAGTTATTTATTTATTAAAGCTCTGTCTTTGCTATTGATAATACATAAAGGATTTAAATAAGTAAACTTATCACAGCCTACTGTTCAGGAACATTATGAAGCGAAACAACATAAGAAACTGTTGCTAAATCACTATACAAATGAGATTAAATAATTGATGTGAACAAATGAAAGTATTTATAAAGAGTGAAAAAACAGATAAGGCAATCCAAAATTATTCTAAAACTCATTCTGGCTTTGTTTGAAATGGCAAGGATTTTTATTTTTGCCTTCCTGTACATTTGTCTGGTTGGTACCTTCCAATTGAATACTATCATCTTTTAGTTTTCCATAAGTTTTCTCTTTTCTATTAATGAATTTTTATTTTTCCCTTAGGCTTGAATCACCAACAAGATCCTTGATAATGGAAGCTCCTCGTGGGGTCCAGGTGAGCGCTGCTGCAGGAGATTTCAAGGCTACCTGCAGGAAGGAGCTCCATTTGCAGTCTACAGAGGGGGAGGTGAGTCCCAGAGCATCTTCTCAAATTATATGCATATGGTTCAGGGTGAAACTAAAGAACTACATTGTGAGAAAGTTTAAATTATAAAAATATTAACACTTCTTGAATAGGAAATTTGGTAAATCTAAGGTTACTCTTTAAAGTTAAACGTCCGTTTGTTTTCTACTGAAAGATATTCATTCGCAAGTCAATTGTAAGTGGGGCATCTAAATCCCTGTAGTTTCAAAATCAGCAGATAAACATAATATCAGGACAATATCAAGATGAAAGGAAGTCTTTGTTGTCTTTTGTTTGTTTTTTCTCTTTGGGTCTGCAAAAAGTTCTTCCAAAAAGAGTACTTTGGTTGTTTGTTTGTCTGTTTCCATGGAGAGAGTACATATATTTTTCTAAAAGAAAGACACAATTTTATTTTATTATTTATTTCCTAGATAAGGATATAGATGTTAATATTTTTCTTCCATGTCACTTTTCTACCTTAAGCATTTCCTTTAAGTCTGACTTATTTGGGTCTATATTTCTAGGTCGCCTCCCAGTATCTAATCTCTTATTTAATCCATACATTGAGCTTTTAATTTTAATGCTTTTGTTTCTAATTTCTGGTATCCTCATCTGTTAATTTTCAAATCTGCCTGGATATCTTGGCAGTTGCTCTTTTGTCTGCTTGTTTTTAATTCTACTTTAATTGTTTTGAGTGCTTATACATGATTCATATTCTTGTATGTTTTTACTAGAATTCTCAAAGTCCTTGAAGGTCTACATCTGTTGTGTTGGTGTTCCAACCAATTTAGTTCTTTAGTATTTTTTCTTCTCCTGGTTATTTATTTTTTCTTAATTATGAATTCACACAGATCAAATTGAGAACAAAAATAATGAAAGGATAAATTTTCAGAGGGAGATGATCTGGAGCATTTCACACATCTTCAGGTGTAATGATGAAGGCATAAATTAATAGAATCAAGATAAGGATATTCCTTTTTTATGTTTATGCCATTATTCAGTTGTTTATTCAAGAGAAATTTTAATTATATATTTTACAGGACCATATTAGTGTCTTGGTGGATAATATTTTAAAAATATATCCATATATCCTTTCAGGATTTTTTTCCACAACAATTGCACACTACAATAATTAGTCTAACACAGCAAGACAGAAATCTTTCTCAAACATCTTGCATTCTTTTTAAAGAGTTGCTTTTATCATGCTAATTGTTTCATTCAAAGTATTCATAACAAATATTGGTGGATATTAGTCTATGTTCTGCTCTTACTTATGAATCATTTACTTATGTTCTTTTATTCAACATACCAGCAGAATCCTTTGATTCAATTATAGGTTAGCATGTAATTATCATTGAGTATTATGCTACAAATAACTCATAGCCAGAGGTTTTATCTGTGGTTTGTATTCATATTAATAAAATAAAAGTACAGAAAAGTAGAGCAGTTTATATTATATTATAAAATAGATGTAATTTTCTCATGAAGAAGAATGAGATGATATAAAATCTTTTTTGTTACATTGACTATGCCACAGAAAGGCAGATTAATCATTTACTAAATAATATAGGAGGATATAAAGTTCCTACCCTTAGATAATTTTTAAAACACTTAATATCAGAGCAGGCATGGTATTGAGGTATCCAAAATAATGGGGGAAATGTGGAAGAATATAAAATTCTGCACTGCAGAATATTCAAGGTCATATCAGAATAGTAGTGCATGGAATTTCAAATTCAGCTCTGAGGACAACATGAGTCATAATTGCATATAGAATATTGTAATTGACATAATAGCATATGCAACACAACTGACCCATAACAATATATATACAACAAGATCATATAGGAAGGAAAACAAATTTATTGTGAAAATAAATTAAGATTTTCTATGAAAAGTGTTGGCCCTGATTTCAACAGCTAGGAATGGGATATATGGATTCTTGGTACACAGAAGACAGGGGACTGTGACTTAAAAGCTCAGAGAGATGATTTTGAGAACAGTGAAGAGTTTCAGAAAAAATGGATTATATGGTTTATAGGGCAATGTAGAATAGACATACCAATTTCAGAAGTTTGGAAAGCAAATAGCATCAAAGTAACTGCTTTGGCAGAAAGCAAAAGACATAGCTAAGCCCATCCATGTTGCAAAAACTTGGAGAGGCTCAGGATTAGAGTGCTGGAAGGAATAAATATATAAAAGCCCTTTTTACCTCATAGTTTTACTTCCTATCTCAAGCCAAGAAATAGCAGTTTCTCTTTTTATGAGAATGAATTTTTCTGTTAATAAAAACTACCTTCTTTTTACAGTTTGGATATCAGAAGCCTAATGGAATTAAGTATTATCATATAGCCAAATATCATCTAAAGTAGCCCCTAAATGGATGGAAAAGCTGGCGAACACCATTATGGCTACGCTGAAGCAGCCTGCGCTACACACCATCAGGCCCAAGTGCTCCAAGCCTTACTCAATTAATCAGGCTTGATTTCTAAGATTGCCACCTGCAAATCTTACCTGTATTAAACAGCTATTCACTGCAGTTATTCACCCAAACTATACCAATTGAAAGACAACCAATTCCAAAGCTGTAAAAGCCAGAGATGTAGCATGGTGTAAGCCACAGCCTGAAATCCACCAGGGCTAACTAGCAACACATATTTTCTGTGCTTACAAATGAAGGCACCATTCATAAAATTTTACAGTCATTGATCAATCCCACATAAGCCTTCTTCTCTACATGTTCTTTAGCTTTGCATATTCCACTCCTTATTATGAATGTTTCAAGGTTTCTTGGCCCAAACCAGCTTCTAACATTTCTTTTTTTCTCTAATTTTTTGAGAATTTTTAAAATTATTTATATCAGAATATTATAGGGGTACAAATATTTTGGCTACATGATTTGCTTTTGTACAGTTTGAGTCAAAGTTATAAGTGTGCCATCACCCAGATAGTGTGAATTGTACCTTTTAGGTGTGATTTTATCGATTTCCTTCCTCCCCTCTCCCACCTGCTTGATTTCCATTGAATTTTATGTCCATATGTACACACGAGTACTAATTGGTTAGTCCAATTTAATAATAAATTTGGTGTTTTTTTCCATTCTTGTAATACTTCACTTATTAGAATTGTCTCTAGTTCATCCAGGTTGTTACAGAAGGTATTAATTTATTTTTTATGGCCGAGTCGTACTCCATGTTGTACTTATACCACATTTTATTAATCCATTCATGAATTGCTGGGCATTGCGTTCATTCCACATCTTTGCAATTGTGAATTGTGTTATGATAAACATTCGAGTGCAAGTGTCTTTTTGATAAAATGGCTTTTTTCCTTTGGGAAATATCACTAGTGGGATTGCTGGATCAAATGGCAGGTCTACTTTTAGTTCATTGAGGAATCTCTGAACTGTTTTCCATAGAGGTTGTACTAGTTTGCAGTCCCACCAACAGTGTGTAAGTATGTCCCTTTCTCTCTATATCCACGCCAGCATCTGGGATGCTGGATAAAAGCCATTTTGGGACTTTTGGATAAAAGCCATTCTCACTGGAGTTAGGTGATATCTCATTGTGGTTTTGATTTGCATTTCCCCAATGACTAGAGATGTTGAGCATTTTTTTATGTTTATTGGCCATTAGTCTGTAGTCTTTGAAAAGTTCCTATTTATGTCTTTTGCCCACTTTTTAATAGGGTTGTTTTATTTTTCTCTTGTTGATTTGCTTGAGTTCTTTTTAGATTCTGGTTATTAGCCCTTCATCAGATGTATAACATGTAAATATTTTCTCCCATTCTGTAGGTTACCCATTTGCTCTATTGATTATTTCCTTGGCTGTGCAGAAGCTTTTAAATTTAATCAAGTCCAGTTTATTGATTTTTGTTGTTGCTGTGATTGGCTTTGGGGTCTTCTTCATAAATTCTTTTCCTAGGCCGATATCTAGAAGAGTTTTTTCAACATTGTCTTCTAGAATCTTACAGTTTCATGCCTTAGGTTTAAGGCTTTTATCAATCTTGAATTAATTTTTGTGAGTAGTGAGAGGTAAAGATCCTGTTTCATTCTTCTACATGTGGCTATCCAATTTTCCCAGCACCATTTATTGAATAGGGAGTCTTTTCCCTAGCGTATATTGTTGTCTGCTTTGTCAAATATCAAATGACAACATGAGGATGATTTTATGTCTGGGTTCTCTATACTGATCCATTGGTCTATGTTTCTGTTTTTGTGCCAGTACCATGCTGTGTTGGTTACTATAGTCTTGTACTATAGCTTGAAGTCAGGTAAATTAACACCTACTGATTTGTTCCTTTTTCTTAAGGTTGCTTTGGCAGCTCCCAGTCAGCCTGAGTTCAAAGTACTTTCTCAGATGCTGTGAATAGAGGAAGTGCAGAGAAAGAAATGTCTAAGTGTAAGAGAGCTGGCACTCTGGTCTCTTGTGGTATTCTCCCATGGAATATCTCTTATGGACACTCGAACTCATGGGGCTCACTTGCTCACCCCATTATTCCTAATTAGCCACTGTACCTGGGCTTGTGAAGGGCAGAAATGCTTTCAATACACTTTTTGTCCCACTGATCACCAAAGGCAAGTAGGTGGAGGAAGGGAAACCCCCCTCACCCTTTCCCTGGGCTCCGAGCATCTCTGGGTTTGATCCATGCTGCTGTTTTCTCCTCTTTCTCTTTCTCTTCTTTCTCTTTCTTTCTCTTTCTCTTTCTCTTTCTCTTTTTCTCTTTCTCAGCTTCATGGCTTCTCTTTATGGGTTTCTGGTTGCCTCAGTTGTCTCTCTCTGTGATCTACAACTGCACTGTGACTCCTTTCCACTCTTCTCAGTCCAATATTCTACCTTCCAGCCAGGCCATTCTGACAAATGATGTCTCTAGTCAGCCATCTTGCCACTCTCCCACCTAGCATTTCTTGGACTCACTTCCAAATCTGTTGATTTAAACCTTGCAGACCCAGAGCTTGTCCCTATAATACTTTTGGCATTTTCAAAGCTTAAAGATGCCTGCTCTCTGTATGCATGCTAGCTCCTAAAAGGAAGCAAGGAAAAAGAGCTGGGCTGTACAAGTCCGCTTGCTTTTAAATTCAACAAATAAAAAGGATCATCTCTCCTCCCCTGTGGAGAAGTAAGACAGCCCAGAGTGTGTTAAAATTAGCATTTCACTTACTAAGCCCCTCAGCATGGAAACACAGAACAAGAGGAAATGAGGCCTAACATCCATCCCCCAAAAATGCACAGCCATGTTCTTTTGCTTACTTTTGTACACTTCTTACTTTCATATCAGAAAAAAAAATTGTTAAAAATTTAGAACAGAATCATTTCTCTCTCTTTGCTTTCCTGTCACTTAAAACAGAAGCAACTATGGGGTAATATATTTCAACATTTGACACCTACAAACATACCTTTTAATCGTGAATACTGTTATAATATTTAACCATGAATACTGTTGCTAAATGCAGCCATTCATTTATTTTATAATTTATTTATTTATTTATTTGACAATTATTTGTATTATATTAAAGGTGGATATGCAGGGTCAAACACTATGAAGTTATAAAAAAAATTAGGAATGGTTCTACCTTTAAGGAGAACATAGTTCAGTAGGGAAAGTAAGATATAAACATGGCTATAAGATAACATATTAAGTGATCAGCAGAATAAGATATTAAAAATAATAAATTTCTAAGAGAAAGCAAAATAATAAGAATTCTTCCATCTTGGAACATCAGGGAAAGATCCATGGAGGAGAAAGCAGATGACTTGGGTTTGATGGAGAATGTATTTGAAACCTACAGGGGAGAGACATGTCCAAGGTGAAGGAAGAGCATCATGCCATTCAGCACACACTGCAGAATTCTGTACATTGGTCCATAGATATGAACCAAAGACAGGCCCTATCTTCATGGGTCTTACTTGCAAGTAGAAGAAATAATCAATGAACAAACACAAAGTTAATATAATGTTATGAAGGGATCATTCCTTATAGACAAGTGTACCTGTTAGAGATGAATGGACTAGTGTTATTTTAATAGGGTGCTTAGGAAAGTTCTTTCTGAGAAGGTGCCTTTGAATAGAGATTGGAGAAAACTTGCTTGAATCTAAATTATTCTAAAATATATATGTTCATGGTATGTGAATTCCTTTTATGGCTTATTTGCATATGCAATAGATGCCTGTAGTTCAAAAATTAAAAATATCTAAAAATGGTGGACAGTGGAAATCTCCCTCCCACCCCTGTTCCCCAATCATACAGTTCATATCTGACCCTACTTGTAAGTAGCTGAAGATACTTACAGTTTAAGGAAATAGACAGTAAAAAAGCCCTGAGGCTAGAGTGCTTTTGGTATTTTCACTTTTTGAGAAAATACAAGAACTGAGCAAGGAGAAGAATTACAGGAAATCATGTCAATGAGGTAGTCTAGATCCTGTAGGGCCTGTGAGCCATGGAAAGACATCAGGATTCATTTGAAGTGTGATGGAAGACATTAGAGAGTTCTGAGCACTAGAATGACATAATTTGATTTTTATTTCTCAAAAGTTCACTCTAGGTAAAATTGATATGAGGACAAAAATGGCAACAAAGAGGATATTTAGGGACTACTGCAGGACTCCTAGTGCAAACCAAATAGGACTTGGATGAGCATAAAGAAGGAGAAAGTGGAATAGTCTCTATTTCTCCTGTCAATTTAGGGATGCACTTCAGGCAGTAATTAGCTACATAACAATGGAATAAAAAACAGCTGGAGAGAGAGCTGTTTCTTTGCTCAGTAAATTTCATAATCCAATTTTTCTTTTTCTGGAACTTTCCCCTTGCTTGTCAAAACCGTATGATTGCTGTTCCTGAAAGTGATGAGTGTATGATTTAGAATAAGTGATTTCCCAAATCAGAAGATTTAGCAAAGTAGGTGTTGAATATAGTTAATATGTTTCATGAAGACTTCAAATATGATTATGTACTATAGTTATGTTGCTCATTGTGCTGATTATCTACTTGATATATCCTTTGGACTGTAAGTTAGTGCACTTTAATGAGTATTTTTAAAAATAGCCCAGAGAGGGTTTTTGTTTGTTTGTTTTTTAATTAATTGCCTACCTCTTCAGTAATATCATATCCACTGACGTCGTTATTTCTTTATATATTCATTAGAATATGCATAGTTAAGAAGTTAAATTGAGAGACCCTGTGAAAATCGTTCATTTTCTGTGGTGTTTGAATAGCTGGATTGGCCCCTTAAGCAGATTGTGCAATATTGCTTTTCAGATCAAGGGCTTTCTGTCAGAGTGTACTATCTCTCAAAGGAGAAGATAGCCGCAGAGTTTGGGGGCTATACCATAGGAATGTAATTTGTTTGTTCAATAAAGCATGGCCGCTAAACCAATAGAATTATTTGTTATGTCATCTTCCTTATTAGACCATGTTGAGGAGGGTTGTAGATTACTCAACGCTCTGAGGAACATAGATTACTAATACGAATTAAAATGCAATTTCTTTCTCCCTAGATATTTTTAAATGCAGATACAATCCGGCTGGGAAATCTACCAACCGGCTCATTTTCATCTTCTTTACCCAGCTCCTCAAGTTCTCGACAGACTGTGTACGAACTCTGTGTCTGCCCCAATGGCAAACTTTACCTTTCTCCAGCAGGAGTAGGTTCCACGTGTCAGTCCAGTAGCAACATCTGCTTGTGGAGCTGAAGTGACTAATTTCTCCTCACACCAGAATAGCCTTTTGTTCCTGTCCGTCTGCTTCACAGTTCTGCTCGGTTTCCCTTGTGATCAGTCCAGAGCTTCTTCAAATGGTCCACAGAGCAACTTCTTCCAGTGTGAGCTGGGATTCGCTGCCACCTTCTCTCGTGAACTGCTCAACACAGAGAGTGTGAATGACACAGCAGTGGAAAAACCATCGTCAGCAGGAAAACTGGATCATGACTTTTGCTCAAAAGGGAGAATAACATAGGTGCCTTTGCTACATGCAGTGAAGCACACAGTTTTAGATTTTTGCAGGACCTGGATATGAACTGCACATATATACATTACATAAATGAAATGCCCAGTATCCAATGGCAAGATGAAATGGTTAACCCTGTAAGAAAACTAATTCTACAGTATGAAAGCACAATTTTCCATTCATCTTTTTGGATGTAAACTTTTATCCCCAAATTTTAAAATTTTGAAGCATTATGTAATGCTTGCTTTACTAAAAATTAAATTCAATACATAATTTTTAACAAAACAAAACAAGACAGAATCCTTCCCTGAGTTTTCTTAGTTTCTTTAAATTCAATGTGTTGTTACTCTTTGTCTACTAAGTCTAGAATTTTGTACATTAGGTAATTTTGAAAGCACTCAGCAATATAATCTTTCCAGAATTAATAAAATGCCATTATATTGTCATTTGCCAGATCTGGATGGCCTTATATAGTATTTACTTGGCTACTGCATGTGATGTATTTGCTTTTAACAAAACATCTAATTTATTGCAAAATGAGATAGGATTAAGAGGGATGTGAGATTCATAGATCATTTCTTTAAAAATCCACATGCTATCCTTCACACCTAGGTTTTAATAGTAAAATTTTTGTTTGCTCCACTCACTTTATACATAACTCTGACTGCGAAAATTCAATCATCTTCTAAATAAATAAATACTAATGTGATGCATACTGCTGAGAACGGATTCACTTTCCATTGGGATATCATCTTCAGAATTATTCTCCATTTATTTTTTTATTGAAGGTTAAGATTTAAGGGGCTTGAAATTAAATTAAAAATCTTTGACTAAACAGTAAAAAAGAGAAACGTTAATAAACATTGAAAATGTGTTTATTCCATTAGATTTATATTTTAAGGAAGTTGGTCACATTTCTATCCAGCTGTTAACACTTAGTTACTTTTATTAGACTGTTAAGCTGCCCTGACATCAGCAATCACAGATCTTTCCATTCTCCACTGCTCATTTTTGTAAATTAGCTCTTAATAAATAACTCCAGAATACTGTGGATTCATTTATCACAACACTCCTTAACTCAAATTCTTGAAACTTACAGAATCCAAGAATGTAAAACTGTATTAAATATTTCCTATTATGGGAAGATGACATGGTTCCTATAAGGTAAGTCCTCAGTTTTCACATGTCAATCAACCTTTTTCTCCCCCATGCACACTTTTAACAGATGTGTTGGAGCTTCATTTTGAGGGTTAATGGGTGTAGTGCCTTTGGGGTTCAGGTCTGTACAGCTTAGAGTGAAGAGAGCAATTAGAACTTGCTGAAGAAATTTGGTTAGTGAAAGTAGTAATATTGGGTAATGCAAGGAGAAAAGTGAACCCTTTGGCCAGAATTATCTTATTTGGATAACAAGATATTGAATAATTGAAAAAGTTTCATCTCACTGTACTCAGCAGAAGGGTTTGAAAGCTAGTTCATTTCAGTATTTTATAAAATAAAACTTGACTTGTGTTTGGGTGTTATTATATAAATCTATAAATCAATATTGGAGTAAGAATTAAGATCTACAAATGCTTAAAAATCATAAATAAGTTTAACTTATATTAAAACAACATTCAAATTTAACATGATAAATTCTCACATGAATCTTTGCAAAATACCCAAAGTAAAATACAAGAAATTTCAAGAAATTATGGGTGCTAATCACTATATTATGGACTTCTAAAGAAAACATTATGTATTAATTTGAGACATATTCAAGTTGTAATCATTCCTAAATTAAAATAATTAGAAAGTTTTTAGTCAAAGAGGAACAATACTTTTGATTAGTAATTGGCCCCGTTTCTAATCTTAGCTCTCTTCTACTAATCAATTGAGCTGATTTAGGCAGGCTGGAATCTCTCCAGACTTCAGTTTACTCAACTTTACAGCAAAAGTATCCAATCAAATGGTCTCTTGTGGTCCCTTCCAATTCTAACGTGTTCTAGTTGCAAGAACAAAATTATAGAAGGCAGAAGGTATCACTGAAAATTTAAATCATATGTCATAAAAGGAGAAAAGATGAGAAGAATAATGAGAAAAAAAGATGTAAAAACCAATTCTGATGAGGGGCTACAAAATTTTTAATCCAAATATATTCCAAAAAGTATAGACACAATTCAAAAATAATATAAAAGCTTGAAAGATTTAAACTATGTCCAGATCATATAAAAATATCTGTTCGATTTAGTAGAAAAAAAAAATAACGATAGAAATGCCTTCTCCATCCAACACTAAATAATTGGTTTAAATTACTTGACTGGCTATTTCAGATTTCTCAGAATCTACAAATAGACCCAGACTCTGAATTCAAGCTTCTTGTGAAGGCTTAGAAAAGTGCTATTAAAAATCTTTGATTTCTTTCCTTCCTTCCTTCCTTCCTTTAAAAAGGTTTGAATCTTTCTTTATACAGAAGTCCCTTAATTGCAGACTACCCAAACAGATTCATTATCTGCATTTCCAAGTACCATCATAATGTTGTAACATATATAAATATAATGCAGTTTACTTATAAGATGTAAATTTCATCCTCCCTAAATGACACTCCGAAAATGATCCCTTTAAAGGGAGCCCACTCAGATACTTTATTACCAGTCTCTGTATACCATCATACTCAGTTTAATCCAGGAAGGTGGGAAGGGAAGAAGGAAGAAAGGGGGTTGGTATTATTCCCAGCATTAAAGTTCCTTGCCAGGAATGTATAAACTGAGTTATATTTGAGTTCAGTTTGGGGCGATCAAAAGAGGAGATATAAACAGGACACATTAACCTTTTCTCTTTCAGAATATTTCAATAAAACACTTTAAACAACAACAAAAATGTTCCAAATTTTCTGGCTCTTTTGCTCAATATCTTCAACATTTCTAACCTGTACTTATTAGTCCTGTTTTTTGGGGTTTTTTTCTTATTTTATTATGAACCAAATGCTTTATAATCTGGAACATAATTATTTATCTAAGGATTTAAGACAATTATATACTTCAAATTTTACTGTAACTCAGAAATCTTAGATTACAGTATCCTAAATGTAGGGAAATGGCACCAAGACTCCAATTCCAGCTCTGCTCCTAGCCAGCCATGTGAATATTCTTAAGAAATGTATTTGATTATCTTAGGAATAGTTTACTTATTTGTGAGAGGGGTTTTATTGGCCACTTTCATCTCTAAATTTCACTGATTCATTTAAGAAAACACTCGACAATCTTGGGTTCAGTGGCCTAGTCTGAACTAGCATTTGTGATCTCCTGAACCTTAAAAATCTGCTTATAAATATGGAAATGCAAATAATGTTGTCATCCAACTTCCTATGGCCTTTTCTATCCTCCATTATTTGTTCTTACCATTTGAATACTAAGGTCCCTTTGGGAAAATGATGCTTGGTTGGCAGACTTCAGTAATGTAATTGATATTAAAAAGGAAAGGAATGTCATTCAAAATGACCATTTAGGAAATTAATAGAAATACTTACCAAATATAAACATTCTGTTGGTCTTTCTATTATTACTTATCTCCATCAAGCTAAAAAATGCTGGTCTTTTGAAAAAAGTAATATGTTCACAGAAATAAATTACCAAACTTTTTATAACATGTTATGCCATTCAGAATTCCTACATATACTACCATGTGAATGACTTGATTAGACAACGCCTTATTTTACAAAAATAATATTTGATACAATGAAACTCCTTACGAATTATGTCATTGCAAACATGGTATCTCTGTATGAGGCAGCAATAGCTTGGAGAGTGTCTAATGCATATAAGTATTATATTTTGTATCAGCCATCAATATAATAATGTTAAATGATTAAAATAGTTGAAGGTATTTAATGGCCAAATTTTCTATACAACGTTCAAAGCCAATTCATATTTGAGTTTTATATGGGTGAGGTCTTGTCATCTTATTCTTCCTGTAGCTTTGGTCTAATTAGAAGTGTTCATTTGACCATATTTAAAGATACATGGAGAAATTATTTGCTCTATATACCAGTATATATTATAGTAATGAATATTGGAAAAGGCCATTATCATAAAGTAAAATTACATTGTATTTTTATTCTTTTTAAACAATCATAAACTAATGAATAATATCATTGAACACTGTTATGCATATTGTTTTACACTTCAGGTCATTAGTCGTTTAAATGTCAAAGACCAAAGACTGGAATTTCTATTGTATTTAACTCTCAAACACTGCTGCTTCTACTAATTTATTCAAATGAATGGGAGGGGGTCTTATAATTATAACATGAGATAGTCAACATTCTCCTTGTGGAATTCTGAGCTGTAGACATTAATGCTTTTGTTTCAGAAGGAAAACTACCTTAGTGTGGTTTGCTTATATTTAAACATGCATAATAAACTCCTTGGTATTCATAAAACCAGTATATAAAGGCTATATTCCAAAATGGGCCCAAAATGAATTTACTCAGCTGAGTTTAAACTTTCAATGCTTGCTAAAAATTATTTGGAGAATATATTAATTTGAAATACTTTTAGAACCAGAGGGCTATTTTTTTAAGCGTTAATTGATGTGGCTCTGCTCTTTGAAAAAAATCAGTGAAAAACATTAAAGAAAATAAGTTATAATGAACTGTGATTCTTTTTGTTTTTTTTCAGTCTTATTATCTCATTTGTTTGAATATTTATAAATAAAAGCCAAACAGGGTTAAAGACATGCAAGGACATTCACTAACAATAGAAATATGTAACTTGGAGTTTGAGTGTCTCGTTATTTATACAATTCTTTAAATCAGGTCCACTATTCATTTATTTTGTTTTGTACTTTCATGTAAATGTTTTCTTGTATATATAGATATATGAAATGGAACTATTTTCTTACACATACTATGCAACATGTTTGTAAAATTGCAATATTACCAAAATTACAAAAGCTGTGCTTTTGTATTCTATCTTGCTTTATGTAAAAACAGTCTTTTTCTATTTAAATGGACTGTCTGTCCTATAAACTGTAGATAACATATCTATTCAAAAATCAGTCTATTGTATCTTTTGTTTAGATTGGAATGAATTGGGGTATATTTTTTGGGGGGGTGGAGAAAATGCATCAAAGTTTTGGCAATTGGAAACTTTTTTTCCCTCATAAATGCGACCTTTTGAAGCATGCAATGAGCTCATAAAATTTAAGATCTCTCCTGTAATTCTTGTATTTTGTCCTAATTCTGGTGCTACTATGTAACCATGATTAAATGTGATAGTCAAAGAGGATCAAAACTCACATGCTATCATTTCATTTATTTTGTTGAAAAAAATAGTTCAAAGAGGGTGTCAGTATTAGTAGTGAACAGAGACCTTTTTTTTCAACTGTGTTTTCACATAAATTCTATTAAGATGTGTGTTTTTAAAATATTTAGTTTAATCTATATATTTATAATTGATAAAGATGCTCCCCTTATGTAAAACTGAATATATTGTTTCTTTTAAATGTATGAACAGTGAAACTAAATAATTCAAATTGATTTGACAGTGAAAATTACTACACTTTATCAGATGATTAGCTAATAATTTGTCTATTCTAGAATCCCTCTGATTTTATTTTGGGGAAAAAATGAGACAAGTTGCTATGTGCAGAAACTTATACTCCTATACATATGTATATCTAATCACACACACAAACATATACATGTAACATTGAATATAAATACATGCTAATTGTCATTTACTTTTGTATTTCTTTTTTTCCCCGTGTTCATATTATATTCGCTATATCAAGAACCAGCATAGTTTGAGACAACAGCATGGACTTTATTAACTTTTAGTAATATATCCAGTCCATTTTTATGCATGCCTTGAGAATAACATTGTTCTTCATAGATTCCATAAAAATAGTATCCATCATAATTTTTTTTAATAGTTACTATTACCTTTACCTTTTTTTTTTTATTTCGGCATATTATAGGGGTACCTTTACCTTTTTTTCTTTGCTATCCAAATGTCTCTATACACTGGTCCAGATATCATTTAAAAACAAACACAAAAACAGAACAAATTACACTTCTTATGAAGACTTTCAAATGTTAATTCTAAACAGAACACAAATTAATGTTTTCAGTTTGGAGAATTATATATATTCTGTCACTTTATTTTATCTCCAGTAAAATGCTGGATGGTTCTAATATGTATGCAACCAGATGCTTGTCTGCTTACTCCCAGCAGATCGATCCCTCAGGCCATTTACTGACCATAGTAATAATGCCTGGATTTGGTAAACTCTCTCTCTCTCTCTCTCTGTCTCTCTCTCTCTCTCTCTCTCTCTCTCTATATATATATATATATATATATATATATATATATGTATATATAGGGGTGAATGAGGAAAAACAACTTTTTACTCACACTCAGCACTTCTGTGACCAGCTGTGTCATTTGTTTTCCCACACCAACCTGTTCTCCTATACCAGCTGGGTAGCCTACAGTTCAAAACAATTATGACACTAACTGGAATTAGTACATACTCAAAAGGTTAAGTCTCTACAAGATTCCCCCCTACTTCAAATCCAAGCCATAAGTAGTATGAACTCAGGTTACCCACAACTTCTGTTCCAATGGGCTACAAGTCCCATGACCCCTTTCTGGGCTCAATAATTTGGTATAATGGCTAACAGAAAACAGTTTACTTACTATTGATGACTTATTACAAAGGATATTTTGAAGGAAACAAATGAATAGCCAGATGAAAAGGCATATGAGGTGAGGTTTGGAAGGGAGTTCAAAGAGTTGGGGTGTGGCTACCAGCACATGTATGTGTTTACCAAATGGTAAACTCTCTGAGACTCATAGTTTGAGGATTTTTTATGAAGGTTTTGCATGATCAATCATTAACTTCATTTTCTCCTCTTGCTAGGGAAGCGGGGGCGAAAAAGTTTCAAACTTCTTTTAGGGCTTGGTCTTCATGGTGACCACCTCCCACTCAGAATCCTACCAAGAGTCAACTCATTTGAGCAAAGGACACTCCTATCACTCAGGAAATTACCCAGGTCTTAGGAGCTCTACATCAGAAACTGGCTCAAAAACAAAACACTAGAACAAAAGTTTATCTTAGCATCCTTATTTAAGAGGGTTTTAGGAGTTCTGTGTTAGGAACCAAGGACAGGGATATATTATTTCACATGGAGGTGTTGGAAATAGAGATTGGGAATGAATATTAAGCCAATAACTCCAATGTAATATTATATATTTTATATGTATATTGCATATTGTATCTCTAATATATCATATATTTTCAGAACACTAGAATATCGTTAAAGGAACTGCTCCCAAAATAGCACCTGTGTGAACCTTAAATGTTCCTATTGCTTCTTCTGATTACCAGGAAGAAGCTTACCCTCTTTGGAGAACATATGACAA